GGAAGCCGGGTCTCTCCTGGGGTGGGGGCAGGGAGGACTGGGGCCTGTTGGTCTATGCACACAGATGGCTGGCTCTCTTTGCACTAGAACTCGCACTGATCTATCTCTCTTTCTTTTTTTTTCTTTCCAACAACAACACAGGCCTGCAGGGTCCTCCAGTGGATACAAGAATGAGACCTCGAGCTAAGCGGCTCTGGGGAGCTGTAGCTCAGACCTTCAATTCGGATAAATAGCAAACAGCAGCACCGCAAAAATAAGACTAAGGAGTGCCCAGCAGGGGCCATCAGCTGATCTCGAGTCCCCGGAGTGTCCTTGGTTAGTAGAGGCACAAGGGCTGCCAGGCAGAAGGTCACCCGCCAGTGGAAAATTCCCAGCTCTGGTCACCTTAGCAAGAGAGGCATTCTTGACTATGTAGCTTAGAGGTTTCCAGGGAGAAATGAGAAAAAAAAAAAGTGTCGCCATCCCCTCCTTTGGCCCCGGTGGCACCATGTGCGATGGCAGCTGGGTGGTGAGGAGTGCCCCAGATAATCCTGCTCTTGATTCACTGGTATCAAAATAATCTCGGGGTACAGTCACCTTCCCCCACTCTCCTTGCCTTCCACCCCAGAGCCCTGGCGCGGTCTGCAGAAAACGTGCTCCTGCTTCTGCTGCTGACACAGTCAACTTGCAGAGATGGCCTGGAAGGAAGCGTGCTCATAAAGCCATACGCTTTAGATTACAAAAAAAAAAAAAAAAAAAAGAGACTGATTTACAAGTGCTGGCTCAACAGCAGCAAATCCATCTTCTCAGATGGCACCCGCAATTGTCAATGAAGAGACAAATACCCCCTGCCTTCACTCATTCATTCAACAACCCTGAGCAAGGGTTGTGTGGAAGGGCCACTTGGGTGGGGTATCTTTTTTGGAAGCCATGACATTACTACTCTGAATTGGCATCCATTAGCATGGTCTAGAAGTCTTGGCCCACAATGGCACTGGCCTCCAGGCTATGGGTCAGGGGTGCAGCAAGCCCATGGAGGGGGTGCTAGAGAGGTGGGGGAAAGTGGGCTTCACAAGGGGGAAGGTGTACTTGAGCTAAACCCTGCCAGAGGGCAGTGAATGACAAGGTCAGGTGTCATTTTAGAGGGAAACTCGTGCAGTGGGGGCATAGGGAGGAGGGTGTTCATTATTTACAGTGTGCTGTATAGGATTCGATTTAGAAAAGTCTCCCCTTCTGAATTGGTTGTTCTGATTCTGGGTCCCTGGGTCCCTCTCTAAGGTGGGTTGATTACAGCCTAGGAATCAGGCAGTCAAATGAGGGTAGCGCCGGCCTGTGGGGCAGGGGGATGTGGAAGATGTGTTCAGTCTCAGGTTTAATGGCAGGCTCATGAGGTTGCCAGTAACCCTTTATGGTTAACTGCTGGATCTGTGAATAAAGAAGGCAACCTGTGACACAAGTCAGCTGGCCCTCTTTTGGAGGACAATACTGGACAAAGCTCAGCCCCGGGTGTTCCCTTCGTCCACATCCATGTAGTAGCCTGAATGTCTCTGGGCATGAGAGCTAAAGCCACGGTTCCATTTGTACCCTTTGGGGGCAGGCTTTCCCAGTCAAAAGCACATTTGGACCAGATAATTTTTTGTTGTGAGGGGTGAGCTGTGCTTTACGGCTGCCAGGTGGAATTCCTGGCTGCTTCCACCCTCTAGACAATGGTAGAAACCCCTCAAGTTGTGAAAACCTAAGATATCCCCAGCATTGCCAAGCATCCTGTGGGGTAAAATCACTACCCCAGCCGCATTGGGACTGTTTTAGAAGTCCTTTTTCCATCTATTTCCATTTGGTCTTCCATTCCATCTGACTTGCTCACTCAGCGGCATTAACACAATGGGTCTCTGTCTTTCTTCCACACCCTCTATTCTTTGATGCACCCTCCTGGTTTGCTTCTCACCTCTCTGACCAATGTGTGGTAGATTCCTGGTGCCACCCGACCCCCTTCCTGCCCTCCAAATGCTGCCAGCCTTTCAGGCTCATGCCTGAGCCCCCTTCTCTGTTACACATCCTATTATCTCTCCCCAGGATTCTTGTGCCTGCCAAGTGCTCTCAGAGTTGCCTCCAGCCCGGATGCTCAGCGAAGATCCAAGTTCATTTTTCATTAGCACCAGAAATTCCAGCCATCTTTCTCAAATTCCCATCTCACTCAACAGCACCTACATCTATCCAGTGCTCAAGAAGGGGTGCTCAGGGTCATCCCGACTCCTCCCCGTCTTTGTGGTAATCCCCCGGGTTAAGCCATCTGAAACCTGAGCAACCACAAGGCCAGCACTCCAGTGACCTCCAGGGTCTCCGGCCTTCCACTTGGCCTTCAGTGTATTCTCTGCTCGGTGCAATCATTGAAAAGCACACATCAGATCATCTGATGTTCTGAATTCCATTTCTTATTTTAAAAATACTTATTTAAAAGGCAAGAGCAAAAGAAAGAGGAAGGGACACAGAGAGATAGATCTTTTGTTCAATGATTCACTCCCCAAATTATCACTACAGTTAGGTCTGGGTCAAACTAAAACAGGGAGCCAGGAACTCCATCGTGGTCGCCCTTGTGGGTGTCCGGGGTCCAAGTATTTGAGCCACTTTTCTCTGCCTTCTCAGGAGCATGAGCAGGAAGATGGATTGCAAGTGGAGCAGCCAGGAGTACACGGGATGCTGCCATCACAGCTATGGCCTTACCAGCCGCAATAGTGGCACCCTGGCTTCCATCTCTTTAGCTTGCCCTCAGATACACTTCTAGGGCCTTCCAAACAGCCCCTCCCTTCTTCCCAAGCTCTTCTGTGTGCTGCTGCCACCACTCGGGCCTTCGTTCAGTTCATCACTGCCACATGTTTTGCCTCTACCCGCAAGACTATCCCCTCTCTTCATCCTGCTGGTCTTGGCATCACCCCCTTTCCTTCCGGAACATTTCTGCTGCTCACAGAGTCTTATGCTGAGTTTCTCACTTTAGTCTCTCTCTGTTCCCTTCCTGCTTGCAAGTGTGACTCATAGCTCCCTATCCACCTTTCTGCTTACATCTGTATTGTGTGGCTGCTCTGCTGAACTGGAAGGGTCCCCAGGGGAGGAACCCTTGGCATCTTCTTTGTTCATTGCAATGTCTCTACCTGAACGCTGTAGGTGATACCCACTGACTGCCTGGCAAACACTTGGTGCATGGGTGACTAATCATCTCATTTCCTCGATGACACTGCAGCTGGGAAAGACTATGACCCAGACGGAGAGGACGAACAGGTTCACGGGTGACCCTGCAAGGCCTGAAGGAAGAGATAGATCCTTAAAGGTCTAGGTCAAAGAAAAGACACTTTCTGGTGGCAGATATTGCGGTCACAAAGCACAGGGCAATAAGCCAGGCACCTGCTGACTCAGAGCCAGCCTTGTGGATTTTTCTGTCACATTCCCTGTCTATTCTGGGACTTCCATTTAGCCAGGACAGAGCTCCCTGGGAGCCAGGTTGGTTCTGAGCCCCGGACTCCAAGAAGAAGGGCTGAGATGAGTTCAGAACCTAAAAGGCTCAGGGCTCTGGGTAGGACAGAGCCCCCTGGGCCCAAGGAGCCACAGGAAAGATGGCTTGGTAAGAAACCTTACATGTCACTGAGGTCCTCTAAGTACTGGTGGCTTTGGCCTGACATGGTAGGTGTATCTTGAAGCCGGCATGGGGTATAGCAAGTTAAGCTACCACCTGGAATGCCAGCATCCCATTTGGGCACCAGTTTCAGTCCTGGCAACTCTGCTTCTAACCCAGTTCCTACTAACGCACCAGGGAAAGCAGGCTCCTAGCTTTTGGCCTGGGTTACTGTTATTTGGGAGAGTAAACCGGCGGATGCAAGATCTCTCTCTCTCTCTCTCTGTAACTCTGCCTTTCAAACAGAAAATAACAAATCTTTTTTTTCTCTCCTCAGGAATGTTTTGGTGGAGTGAGCAAGGGGGTAGGCCGATGGAGAGGCTTCTCCCTTCGTCAGCAAAACTGCCCTTTACTTTTTTTTTTTTGAAGGCACAGGTATGGCTGGCTGCAGAGCGTGGTATCGGTGCTCGGCCTGGGGTCAATGTGTGTGATCCACGCCAGCTGCTCGTGTCCCCAGCTCTCTAAGGAACAGCAGCTGCAAAGGACACAACTGCCAAGATCAGGTATGGCTTGTACAGCAAACGACTCACACAGTGTCGAAGCAAAAACCTCCAGACCCCAGGGCGAGCCTGGTCTGAGGTAGGGTACAGTTCCCTTCACCCAGGATGACCTATTCTCTCTTCTTCAATCAGCTTGAATGAATCTGAGAGAAGGGTTTCCAAGTTCATGTGTTACGGCTCAAGGACGAGTCTGGGGCCTTGATTCCAAACATACTGCGATTGGCTGCACGTTGCTAAACAACCGAACTAGCCCGCACCTGGTGTCATAGCAGGGCCCAAGTGATATTTACAGGAGGGTCACTCAGCCAACAGCAGTCATTAATAAAATGCTAATGGGATACAAATGGCTGCTTGCACGTAGAACTAAAGGAAAGGAGGGCTTCCAGCTAGAAGAGCGACCTATCGAATGACCGTAGAGAATGCTATTTTCAGCCACAAGAGAAGAAAGGAACAGCTTTGTTATTCCGAAATGGGTTCTGGCCTAAGATGAGCCATCAAAGTTTCAAAAACGGATTGAGGATTTTCTTTGTATTAAAACCCAAGAGATATAAATAAGCATGGTTCCTGCACCCTCCAGAGTGTGCGACTGGTGAGCTGGACTGGGGTGCTGCATGGCTCAGCTCTTCAAATACTGACACTGTCCAGAGCGATGGCCACTGGGGGCAGGAGACAGCCATCAGAACTGAGCGGCAGCTAGGGCTGGTGCTGGCTCCTGGGGAGCCAGGACTTCATTTTGAGAACTATGCTAAAAAGCCCTGCAAGATGAGAACTCCAGCTGGAAGGAAGTCTCCTACACAAACTTCTGTCGAATGAATGGACACCTGACTCTGCCCCATGTCACCCCATCTCTTGCTTACCTCAGATTCCTTGTAGTAACGTTCTGGAATTTCATCACAGGCAATATCAATAAAGCAAACTTCTCTCTCCAGGTCTTTGGCTTCATTGTCAAAAATCTGAAAAGAGCAGAGCAACATATCAAAGATTACTGATGCCAGGTGGTGCCCTCCAAGGTCCCCGTGGGTTGGCATCGTTGTGCCCGAGGCAGAAGGGCACCCTGCACAGCATCTTCACAGAGCTCCTGGCTAACGCTTTCACCAGCCACAGAGCCTGCGAGAATCATCAAAAGGTTTTTTATGCATCGCTGAGGTTTTGTCACATCAGAGGCAGGTGTAGCATCAATCACCACTTGGTGAGCGGTAAGAGAAAAAGTTGGCTGTTTTTAGAAGTTCAGGAGTGAGGAAATGAATCTCTTGCAAAAAAAAAAAAAAAAAAAAAAACTTCCCAAACTGCAGTCTGCCGTTTTCTGGCCGTGAGTCAGTACAGGGGGAGTGACAAGGCCGAACAAAAAGCAGTGTGCCGGCCAAGGATTTAGAGAAGAAAAAAGGTGTATCTGTGTTTTCATGAAAATATTCATATAGATTTAATTTCACAAATAATACACACTCAGGACAGAGATAAGCACACACACACACACACACACACACACACACACACACAGAGGACAAGAAGCCATCATCCTATGATGCAAGTTAAAATACATGTGTTTTTCTTGACCACCTAAGAGAACTGTGTCCTTGACTAACGCAGTGGCCGCGAGTTTAGCATGGTAACACAGTGATACTGCTTCCTGCCAGCCTCCATGGGGTTTGACTGGTCCAGGGTGCCCACCCCCTGCCACACACATAAAAGCAACACCGCCAGCCACAATATAGAGACACAGTATGCAACTACAGTATCTCTAGGTTTTCTCCTTGCCATCTTTCTGGACTTTTCTTTTGGAAGGATGGTAACGGGCTAAGCCATGCAAACCACGCCACCTTGCAGGAACTCAGTGTTACGCTGCAACTCCTCAGGAAACACTACTTACAACAGACCCTTCAGAAGAGAATAAAATATTTTTACAAGGGCAGGGAGGTTGAGGTCAAAGAACATTGTCCTGAGTCACATTTGGGGGCCTATCAACAGTGATGCCACGCCAACAGACAGCGTTGGAAAGACTCTATGTTGCCTTTACGGTTGGCTTCTCCAATGGAAACTCCTAGCTCTTTCTGAATCACACATGGACTGGTCAAGACCCTCCAAGATGGTTCCCTGTTCTATTGCCTACTTTGGCAAAGGAAATCAACTCCCCAGTTTGGCCTGAGCCAGCCTCTGCCTCTTGCTTGCTCTTAAAGGTAGAGAAAGATTGGTTCCTTCCACTGCCATTTGAAGTCACGTGCTTGGAGACTCTTTGAATGTATTTGGGAGGGACAGGTGGATTGTCTTGGAAAGAAACAAGTTCAAGGCTGAGTGGAGAAATCAGCTGTGAAAGGCCACACTGACCCTCAGAGGTTCTCTCTGTCTCACTAAAGTGTGTCGCAAGAGAAGGAAGACATGAAACTCATTAACAAGACAACACTGAACACTCTGGGAGGATATGAGTTCCGAGGGAATAAATGACAAAAGAACTTTCCGATGTATTGGTGTTAAAACTTACAACATCCAAAGAAAGGGGAAGAGTGGGGGGTGACAGGAGCTGCCGACAGGTTATGTGTCTTTACCTAATTTAACGGGAGGGCTTCTGACCACCCATTGTGTCCATTACCACATTACTGCCTTTCGGTCCCAGTTCCCAGACAATGGACTGGACCCCCTAAAGGCTTCTTCCTTATAATGAGTCTGGCACTAAGCCTTGTCAGTAGAGGGCGCTAGAGGGACACTCCAGGGAGATGGGGCGGGCTCTCCTGGGTTTGGCTCTGCCCCAGGGGCACGATCTATCATGTAGGTAAAGACAGCTCCAGCCCTGCTCTGCCCGAGTTGAACCTTGAACCTGGAGGGCAGAAATGCTCAGTGTGACCTTGCAGCCCTGGCACGGGCCCAGAAACCACTTCTCCATGCCCTCTCGACTGAGGCACTGTGTACACCAGGCTGTACATGAGCAGTGCATCCTGACAACCTCCACACACTTGTCCACCAACCTCATCTTGCCAGAGGGTTGTCTACTGTCCGGCTTAGGTCTCCGCTATCCTACGGGCTCCAATAATCATCCCTTCTCCAGGAAAGTCTGCACCCCAGCCAGACAGGTGTTCCTCCCAGTACTTTCTTCTCGGGTATTCTCGCAGTCTTAGGACACCCTTGAGAGTTCTCTTTGCAGCTTCAAAGTTGTCCTTATTAAGTGGTAACAATTCCTTATGTTAGAATTTACTTGGGACGGTGTGCTGGCTGTCTCCTGTATGGACATGAATGCCCACCAAGCGCTGCCCTAGGCCTTAGTGACTCAAAAACTGCTGATAGGTTGAGTTCCTGATCTGAAAAAAAGCTGTTGTCTAGTAGGAGAGAGACGGACTGGGAAGCTCTCACCAAAACCCCAAAGCACAACCTAGTTGGTGCAACTCAAAGCTAGCGAGATGCACCATTGCTGTTGACTCAGCAACATCACCCAAGGTCACGGTCAGCGGACAGGCTCAGATGGAAGGGCAAAGTCTCTAGACTCCACTGCTGGGCTCCTCCCCTGATAAAAGGTTGTCTCTTAGCACTCAGTGAAGAAGATTGCTATCAGCTCAGAGTGCTTCCTGCTTCTTCCTAAAAAAGCTCTTGGTTTTCCTTCTGCTACTTACTAAGGTCCACTGCTGAGACCCAAAGGCCACTGCTAAGACCTTCGCCGAGCCTTGGGCTTTTCTGCTGCTCTGTCCCCTCACCGTGGCTGCTGCACATTTTCTGGAGGCTCTCTTCGGTCCGACAGGACTGGTATCCTTGGTTAATATGTTTACTTCTTGTGCCAAAGCATGGAAAAGTCAAGTTTACTGGAACTTTGCCACAAACATTTCAAAGGTGGAGTTATACTACTTGAACAAAGCCACAGAAAAGCCACTTTGGGAACCTCAAGCTACTCTTTAGCTTTGCAATTACAGGGTCTTGCTTTCCAATAAATAACCATTCTCCCAGGCCTTGGTCCTTTTAGAAGCTGCTCATGGGTGTTTTATTCGCTAAATTGGTGGCATGCATTAGCTTCTGCTTTCCCAAAAGGAATCCATAGCAGGAATATTACTTACTAATTGATCTTTGATTCCTGTCATGAGTATGGGCTCTGTTTATTCCGTCATAAGTACCCACATTTCCCACAATTTCCAATATAGGATTTCAAACAGGGTGGTGACCCCTTAAGTATGGGCCAGTGGGTCCTATACTGGGAATCTGGAGAGCCAAGTTGGAGTTAATTTATTCAGGTAACCTGCAGGCTTCCATGCTTTTGTCTTTAAATACAAAAGTTTAAGCCAAATGGGTGAGGTTTGGCAAGTATGAAACACCCTGGCAAGCAGACAAACCTCAGGGACGTACACTTCCTGACAGGAGTGTCAACCACTTTGACTATCGGTGCGAACCGAGGCACCTGGTCTGTGTCTTGGGCCTGCTGCTGATCCCTGATTCCCATTAACATGCATCCCTGGAGGGAGACCCCGATGGAGTTCCAGGCTCCCGACGTTGGCCTGCCCTCAGTCCTGGCTGTTGTAGATCTTGGATAAATGAATCAGCATAAGGGCGCTCTCTTTCTGCCTTTAAATTACAAATGAAAATAAATGAATATTTATATGAAAAGACATCTGTGGCCCTGCTGAAGTTGAAACCCAGTGATCCAGATGAGCACAGAAATTCCTTCCAGTTAAAAAGCCTATGGTGCTCAGTATGGCCTCTGGGTCACATTAGTCCCCAAAGCCTTGCTCCTCTGGCTTGTTCCCTCCCTAATCCCTTCATCCCACAGCCAGCCAACTTGGGTGGGAGACAGAGAGGCTGCAGTAGGGCCACAGGAGGTGGTGGCAGTGAGGGTGCAGCATAATCGGAGGGCACAACCAGGGTGAAAGAGCGTGAACTTCACATTCAGTTAAGGGCAGCATCCAGAGGGGACTCTGCTACCACCAGGCAGAGGCTTGGTCAGGCCCCAGAGGAGTGTGCTCAGGAAGAGGAGCAGTTTATCTGGGCTTTCTCCCCGTAGCAGCTGCAGCTGCTAGAGCTCTGGTCCAACCACTGGCTCTCAGAGGTGTTGTTTAGGGCCCCCTCTGAGATGGTGCATCTTACACATAAGCCAAGCCAGGGCCTTGCAGATGGCACTGGACACCTCAGTGCTGCGCACACTCTCCTGGCCTCAGACTTGACTTTGAGAGTTGATTGAGGGACTTTTCCTACATGACTTTAGGATATGGCTCCCGTGGTTGGGTGTTTTTCAAAGACATGGAAGGGGAAATGCGTTGTCCTCTTTCTCGTCTACCACCCACCCACACATCATCCGCAGCGGGGTTTTGGTGCCAGCATGGTTGACGCTCCTGCCCCCCACTCCTCTACGAGGGAAGGAGTGATCTGCAAGGCAAACTCCTTTTAACACAGACTGAGAGATCCCGCAAGAAGGCAGACCTGCAGAAACACTATGACAGATTCCAAAGTAAAAAAGACATTTGTCCTTTTTTTTTTTTTTTGTAAAACATTCAGTTGAACACTAAGTATCCATTGTCTTGAAATTTTTCCTAGACTTCCACTCGGTAAGAGCACACTTGGAGAATTTATCTTAAGGCAATAACCATAAAGAAAAAGCTTATGCACGAACATTTCCATTGCAATATTATTGCAATGACAAGAACAAAAGAAAAGAGAAGGAAGAAAACAGCTTAAATATCCCACTATGGGAGAAGAACTAAGGGGATTCAGATACATCCACTGCTGAAGGATTATGGGTCATGCAATTGTCACTAAGAAAGGACAAGTACATGGAACTACATGGAACGTGTTTCAACCTCGCTCTGGATTTCTCTGTGCATAGAAGCATCTTTTCAGATTTGGTGACGTCTCTTATTCGAGTCCATCAAGAGGACCATGTGGATGACTCTTCATCAATTTACAACCCATCATCCTGGGAATCAGAGATTCTGCCACCCCTTTCGCTACAATATTAACTTTCACTGGTTTAAGATGCAAGTTCAGGGGC